CTCATAGCAGTCAATTGATTTGCATAGTAGCCAGGTAGCACCAAACTAGCTAGTTTTATTATTGATAAATTCAAAATTTCGACCCCATAGACTCTGTTTTGTCCTTCTATGAAAGAAATTAATTAAATCTATATACTCTCGAGTTTAAGGCTAAACCTCAATGGTTTCATCTCGATTTATCCAATAAATCCTAACAAAATTCATAATCCAAAATCTCCAATAAAGTAAATAAAACAGAAAGTTACCAGTGGTACGTAAACTATGAGTTTCCAGAACTAGCATAAGCAAAGCTGCAAAGCGAAGAATTCATCTTCATAGTCTAAGATTTTATGAATGAAAGGTCTTCTCAACGCCAGTACCTGCACGCAACATTAATTTTGCAAAATTCATATCAAATTCAGAGTAAATAAAAACAGATAGTGGAGTAAAAAGATAAAAAAAAAAAACACAGAAAAGACTCGAGTAATTGATGAAGCAATCATACACCAAGGGAATAAGTAAGGGCGGGACGAAGACTTGAAGGGAGCTGCTGAGCAGCGGACATCTCGAAGAATGCGGGACGCGTCCCTTGTCCTCCCACCTGAAACAACATCTCGCTGTCTCTGTCTTTTTCTAGCTACAGAATATATACCTCTGCCACTTCTCCGCCGTGCTGGGAAGAGTTTTCACCTCCACCAATGCTCCGTCTGGAAGACCAGTTGGGAAATCGGAGGTAGACCGGCGTCGGAAAGCTCCTTATGGAGGCCGTGGGAGATGTGGATTTGGGGTAAAAGAAATTGAAAATCAGAGGAACTCGGGAAAGGGGGGAGAGAGAAAGGGGGGAAGATAAGTGAAAACGGTGTTTTCTAAAATGACCGTGTTTTACACTGAAAATGGTGAAAACGTGGTTTTGGTTGTTTTGTGTTTTCAGCTCAAAATTTTTTTGTTTTCCAAAATTCATTTTCAAAAATGAGAAAGAGAACACGTTTTCGGTGTTTTGGAAAATCGAAAATCAAAAACAATCTGAAAACAACAAAGAGAAGAGGGCCTAATTAAAATCCTTGTTTGGAGAAATCCCTTCCCTGATTTTAGTAGTGCGCTTTTTAGGTTTTCTTGCTCTTCTTCCCTCCATTTTTCTTTTCAAAATCAAACAAGCGGAACCCTAATTATACCCAATAGTTCCAATTCCTGACCTAAAGTGAAGGGATCGCGATTTATTCTGTGTGGATATTTCAGGTTACGACTTAGTGTGATCGTGCGCGATTGATCTCATTCCCTGTTATTATTTATGCTAAATCAAAACTGAAGGTTGATTATAAGAATATTGTCGATTTTAATTCTACTCGAGTTTGGTGGTAGTGATTTATTGTTTCGATTTTAAGGTATATGATTAGTGCCGGCCAGTGCCTATTGCTTGTGAAAATATCTAAACCAATTCGGGTTCATTCATTTGGCCGGAACCAAGGTGAGCATTCACAACATTCTGAAGAATTGTATGATTTTGGGCTTTATGTTCTAAATTTTTTAACTAGTATTGGTGACACAAACAACCAATTTGGTGTTAAAGGAATTTAAAGTGCTGATATGGTAACTTTTGCAAATTCCTTTCATGACCAGGATAACATAAACAAAAAGGAGAAAGTCAACTTTTGGGCTTGATCAAACTTTTTAGGATTTGATTAGCAAAAGACTTTGATTTAATTCTTAAAGGAACTTGAATTTGAGAGGTGATTATTTATTTATTTATTTATTTTTGAGATTTCTTAGTCACTTAATAATTTCAGCTCAGCAAAGCTCATGTATCTCTTACTACAATGGGTTGGAAAGCCTATATGTTTGATGAATTGACATGGAACATACAGCAGTTTTTTAGCAATATCTTCTCTTTTGTCCTCCAGTACGTAGTAAATGTCTGACATGATTAGGGTAGATTATATCTAACTTGTTCATGCCTCTATGTTGTAGTTACCTTTTTTGATTAAGCACTGATATTTATAGCAGGTTGACTGCTTCCCTTCAGTGTAAAAATGATTCTACAACATATGGAAGAGGTTAAGTAGTGTTTTCTAATATTTACGTGCATTATCAAGGGCAGACTGATTATTAAATTACTTGGGAGCGGTATGACCATGTCCATGTGCACGTAAATTCTGTAAACTGGAAGTTTAATTACTGTTTATATTGATAAAGTGAGTGTTACTCATATAAACCTTGAAATTACTGCTGTATAAAACTGCAATGACAGCATATCAAACTTATATTCAATATATGTAGGTGTTTTGTGTATGTATGAATGTACATGCATACCTGATTTTCTTGGTTAGCAAAATTTATCTTTGTACAAGTTCTCATACTCATTACATAAACCTCTTTTTTTAAGAAAAAGAATTGCCTGAATGGCAAACTGATTGTAGAAGAAATTTGGCACTGATGTTGATATGATCAATCCTTTATTTATGTAGCGTGGTTCCCTTGTGCTGCTGCCAGACGGTTGCATCCTACATCCTTGAGCCAATCAACAACTTCTTGTATAGTCGGCCTCTTGATAGGGTTCTGGTTGACGCACGTGCAGGCCACATCAAGCACTTGTAGCATCTCTTCTTCAAAGCCTCTGCCTCTCAGGAGTGGATCAAAGATCTCCTCTTGGTTTCCTTCATTCCTCATTTGCTGTACCCATGGAACCAATTCTATTGCCATCTTTGCCTTCAATAGTTCCACGGGCCTCTTTCCAGTTAATAGTTCAAGCATAACAACTCCAAAACTGTAGACATCCCCTCTCAATGTGGCTATCCACGATTGACTGTATTCTGGGGGAATGTAACCAATGGTACCAACTAATTCGGTGGTTACGTGAGTGTGATAAGGAAGAATCAGCCTTGCCAACCCAAAATCTGCCACATGTGCTTCAAAGTTATCATCCAGAAGTATGTTACTGGATTTTAGGTCACGATGCACAATACGTGGCTCGCAAATCTGGTGCATATAAGCCACTCCATGACTTGTCCCTTGAGCAATCTTCAGTCGCGTTGGCCAACTGAATTGGGATGCTCCATCAGGTTTCTCATGCAACCAGTAATCCAGGCTCCCATTCTCCATGTAGGAATATATTAGCAATCTATAGCCATCATGAACACTGTAACCCTGTAGAGTAACTAGATTCTCGCATTGGGCAGTGGATAAAGCTTCAACCTCGGCTTTGAATTCCCTTTCCATCAGGCCAATATCTCCTGAGAGTTTCTTAACCGCCAGCTTGGTATTATCTACTAAAGTCACTTTATATACCAAGCCAAAGCCTCCACACCCAATTATGTTCGACTGGTTGAAACTGTCTGTGGCCTTCAAGATTTCTGAGATTGTTAGCTCCATTGGTTTGTTTGTATTGTTGGGAAACAATATGACAAGGCTGGTGTCATTAGCAACTTCATTAAATACTCCAGAAGAATTGAAGGATACCATATCCATATCAGTTTTCTCGGGTTGACTATTTGGTCGGATCCTCCTCTTTGAAAATACCCAATATATCAGCATGGCAAAAGTGAAAATGCCAGAAAAAACCATGAGGGTGAGTACAATGATTTTTCTATTTGTTCCTTTCCTTTGTGGTGACTGACGGGTAGTTTCCGATTGACCAGTGCAAGAGCGTGGCAAACTTTTACCACACAAACCTGGATTTCCTTCAAAGCTTGAATTGGGAAATGTGTCAAACTGACCTCCTACAGGTACAGGACCATCAAGATTGTTGTATGCATCACTGAAAAAAGACAGAAAGTGAAGATTTTTGAGCAATGCAGGAATTTGACCAGAAAGATGGTTGCTAAAGAGGTCCAGTTTTTCCAAGTTAGTGAGGTTAGATATTGTGTCTGGAATGCTGCCAGAGAAATTGTTGTCTCTGAGATCAAGGGCAACAATAAACTTCAATTGGCCAATCTCATTTGGGACGGTACCACTGATACTGTTACTCCTGAGGTATATTGCTGGTGGCAGGTTGGAGAGCTGGTTGTATTGCAGATAGGAGGCATTATAGGGCAGAACAAAGACAGGCAATTCTCAATAACTGTGTTCTACTTGATCTGAAGTTTCTTGTGTTGCTAGTCTTCTCAGTTTTATAAGTTCCATAGTGAAGTTTCCAGACAGAAGGTTTTGGGACAAATCCAAGTAGAAAAGGTTTGGCAGATACCCAAACCATCCTGGGATGAAGCCCGTCATGTT